TTTGCGTGTGAACCCATTGTTTTCCCATACACATACAAACTTGTTTATTAATTATAGCAATGAACTTTGTTTCTCATTACAACAACGAACTTTTATTACTGGAAACTTATATACTTGTATTAGCTGTGAAATTGTTTGCTCCTTGTAGCAATGAACTTGATTGCTCATTTTAGAAATGAAACTTGTTTACTCATTGAGTAACGAACTTTATTTCCCATGAGAATATGAACATTGCATCTCATTTGGGCAACATACTTTATCTCTCATGATTACAAAGAACTTTGTTTATGCAAACTTATTTACTCTTTTTTCCAATATATTTCTATTTATGGAAACTTTATTACCCGCTTTAGCAACGAACTTCTATTCAAGAAAACATATTTATTATTTTAGAAATCAACATTGTTTATGGAAACTGTTATCAATATTCTGATTATCATGATTTCAAACTACATTATGTGATAAACATGTGAGTACTCACCAACTATTTTTATAGTCAACGTTCATTTTACATGCTTTTTAGGAATCATCGAGTAAGTGGCACTTAGGGACACTTCACTTTTAGGAGCATTCACATGTGTTGTATTTCAGTTTACATTGTAATTTCTTTTAAAAATTTGTTCAAACTCATTGTAAATTTGTAATGCTTTTAATACTATGGTTGGTGTTGCCTTTTAACTTTTGCTATGAAACCATTTGTACTGCCATGCCCCGTGTTTCTGATTTAGCGGGGTGTGACAAAGAAATAACTATGAAAACTAGTGCTTAAAAGTCAAAAGGTAATACTCAACTTCAAATTATTAATATTATTCTTTCTAGGTTCACTGCAACTCTTAAAGGCTGATGTGATTTCTATGTTACACCAGAAGAAAAAAAATGGGATTTTAACTGCTACTAAAACCATAATAAAACAAGAAAATGGTCAACATATAAAAAACGTTAGAGGAAGATATGGTTAATACATTAACGTATGCCATTATCAAAAACTTCGTTGGAGAACCTTCTACGTTTGAAGAAAAAACTTTTGAACTATAAATGAATTTACATTGTAGAAAACTTACTGATTTTAGATGGTATAAAGATAATTATCTTGTTAAAGTCTTTTCAAGACTTGACTGCAAAGAAGCATATTGGAAAGAACGCTTTATTGCTAGCCTTCCAAAATTATTTGTAGAAAGAGTTAGGCAAAAACTAAGAGAAAGCTTTAATAATCAAATTCTTTATCAAAATCTAACTTATGGAGATCAAATCAATTATATGAATAAAGAAGGATTAGCAGTTTGTGCAAATCTTAGGTTTAAAGATAAACTTAAAAAAGATGGAATCAATAGTAAAAATGAGTTAGGAAATTTTTGCCAACAATATGGATATCCACCCTTGACGGACCATCTACATCAAAATCACAAAATTACACAAAAAAAAAATCTTTGAAATATTTTAAGAAAAATAGAAAATATAATATTTTAGAAAATTATCATAAAAGAAAAGACTGCTCTAAAAATATTACAAAAGGTCATCTAAAAGATCTAAAGAAAATCAAAAGACATTATTATTTGTCATAAATGTGGACGTACCTGCCACACAAACAACAATTGTTGTGCCATGAAAAAATAAATGAATTGAATATATCTGGAGAATTAAAAGAACAAATAAGAAAAAATGGTTTAAATTCAAACTCAGACTCGGACTTTGACTCTGAAGAAAGTATTTCTGACTACCAAACAAATGATTTAAATGTTTTAGAACATACTACTTCTGAGTTCTGATGTATGTGAAGGTATTGGTAAATATCAATGTAGCTCAATTAATGAGATTACAAATAATTCAATTAATTTTCACACTCATAATGATAAAAATCTACTAAAAACGAAGACTTTATATCGGAACCCAACATATATGGTCTGCCACTAGGGTGCAACAAGGTGACCCCTTGGGCCCTCTTCTTTTTGCCCTCGTTTTGCACCCGCTTGTGCACAAGATTAGAGAAAATTGTAAGCTCCTCCTCCATGCTTGATATCTAGATGATGGGACTGTCATTGGGGATTCAGAGGAGGTGGCTAGAGTGTTGAACATAATTCGATTGGATGGTCTAGGTTTGGGTTTGGAGTTGAACATCAAGAAAATGGAGATTTTTTTGGCCATCCTCTGATGGTAGGAAGCTTCGTGCCGATTTATTCCCAACGGACATAGGGAGACCTTCTTTGGGGGTGAAGCTCCTTGGGGGGGCTGTTAGCTGAGACACAGGGTTTATTAGCGGGCTGGCCATGAAGAGAGCGGTCAATGTTGTTGATTTGATGGGCCTTCTTCCACAACTATGTGACCCGCAGAGTGAGCTCCTTTTGCTTCGATCCTGTATGGGCATTGCAAAAATTTTCTTTGGTTTAAGGACATGCCAGCCGATACACATAGAAGAGGGCGTTATTCTTTGATAAAGGATTGCGCAGGTCTATCGAGGATATGGTGGTTTGTGGAGGCCCCTTCTTTGGAGACATTCAGTGGCGCCTGGATTCCTTACCTATTCGTTTCGGTGGTTTGGGTTTGTACTCGTCCTACAAGGTTTCCTCCTACGCATTTGTAGCCTTGAGGGCCCAATCTTGGGCATTACAAGACCACATCTTACGTTACAGTGGTGTATGTGTTATGGACTCAGATTACCTATGTGCTATGACTCTTCTTCGCAATACGATTCTGGGATTTAACTGTAGCTGTTTCACTAATAAGGACACCCCCCTCTAAATCCCAAAAAGCTTTGTCGTGCGCCCTTTTTAGCAAAATCGTCCAAGATATGGAAGTCGACTTTGACATGATTGTCAGACAGAAAGCAGTCTTTGAGTGTCTGCGGGCGCCTCATGCTCAGGATTTTCTGCTAACTATCCCTATTGATGGTCTTGGCCAACATATGTCTCCTGTGGCGCCTCATGATTCCCATATTCCCAATTGACGAGATATGTCCAGTTTGTCGCAAGGCATGTTTGGATACCTTTGGGGAACACGCGGTTCATTGTAGAGAGCTTCCTGGTTTCAAGTATAGAGATGATGTGGTTCGGGATGTTCTCTTTGATGCTTGTCGGCATGTTGGTATTTTAGTGAAGAAAGAAGCGCGTGTGAACTTTTTGACGGACCCGCAGGATGGAAGGTCCACAGTTAGACCGGCTGAAATTTTGGTCTTTGGATGGATAGGAGTGAAGCATGCATTTGTGGATCTTACTGGGGTCTCTCCTCTCGTTGGTTTGGGGAGCGGGGGTTTCACAGCTAGGCATGCCGCTTTGAAAGCCGTTGCGTGCAAGGTGGTAAAGCACCAGAATGCATGTATAGCAAATCAATATGTGTTTGTTCCTTTTGCATTCGACACATTTGGTTTTCTCGCACCAGATGCGGTGGAGCTCCTCAATAAAGTCCAACGGGTCATGCATTCTAACGTCATATCTCCTAGATCCACAAATGTAGTTTTCAAAAGAATTGATTTTGCTATCGAAAACGGCTAGCGGCGCAGCTTGTTGCCCGTTTGCCTTCAATCGATACGTATTGAACTATGATTAATTTACATTTCATTATTAAACAAATGCTTTAAGAAAGTAGGGGACATTATTATATCTAATAATACTGAATTGTTTAATCTCAATAACGTATTTGAAAGATTTCCAACTCTAATATTTCTATTATTGAACTCAAAAAGCATTTTGCAAATGTTGACTCTAAACATATGTAGAGAAATCGATTCAAATTCAAAAAGTGGAGGAAAATTAAATGTAGGTTAATGAATTGGTGGAAGTTCAAAATAAGGAGGAGGTCCTTAAGGCAAAGTCCAAGACTATAGTAAAGAATTACAATAGAGGCATTGTATGAGATTGAGGGTAAGAGAACTAAATTAAATAAAAACCAAAAGATTTTGATAACAACCAAAAACACCGAATTTAGACCCTAAATGATGTAATTAGGTATCCGTAATTCGTTGGCTCCCAATCTAAGATTAAATAGTAATAGAAAGCAAGACAAAGTTCATGGCCCATCATATCATCCCCAACAATGTTTTGACGTTGTCTTCTTCAAGCAAGCATACATTACAAGGTTGTAACTCCTTTTATTTTGTAACATCCTAAACCAATCAAAGATATGAGATATACCATACTTGGATGTGTATGCCCTTTATTCATGTGATGAAACAAAGGTTTGGATGTCAAAAGGTATACCTCACATGTACGACCAAGTATGTCAAGGAAGCTTCCTGGGGGAAAAAGCTCTAAACCAATACTTTTCCTTTTCAGCTGAAAACAGATAATAAGTTATGTTATTCACAAACATACGATATATTTATGTGATCCAACATATACACTTAATGAGTTACATAGACCCATTTAGACGAAATACTATTTGGGTCGATTCGTTTAGGAGTTAGAAGTAGAAATTTTATTTTTCATATTTTATTAAAACAAATTATTATAGTAGATGTCAATAAAATAAATGATAAATGGGTGGGTGGATTTGGGTTATATGAAACATTTATTTATCCACTAAAAATATATTTAACAAAATTGACAGCTACCTTGATAGTGGGCACCATCTACAATGAATTTACGATGATAAGGAAACATGTAAATCCCATGTAAAGAAAACCGCAAGTTGTGTAGGATGTATTGTCCCGTAGTTGTTTGAAAAGGAGAGAGATCTCCACCAATTATGTGATTCCATGACTTGTAATAACCCAACACATCTTCTTCTTCTTCTTCCTTGTTCTTTACATCATCATACACAAGACACACCCCACACTCCTTTACAAATTCAAAAAACGGCACTGTAACAGTAATAGTAATGTGGTCACCACCTTCCATGTCATTCATCCCAAACATCCAATGACTTAAAAACACCCAACAATTTTGATTTAGGTTATATTTGTGTCTGTAACGTTCGTATATCCATGTGCGGTTCTTTGTTATATTATTAATTATCATCATTGGTGCCGTAGGGAACTGACTGGATACAGAGTTTGACATCTCATCCCCACTTCGTCATCTCTGGAGGTAGCAGAAGTGGAGTCCTTTAAGGTTGTTTAGAGAAGATGATGATAATGATGGGATGGCAAATGATTTTGATGGCCCCACACTTCTATGCCTAAACCAACTCGGCATCTCCTCTGCCTCATACATTGTGCTGAATATTCCAAATTCATAAATCATCTGCCAAACACAAGCACATTAATTAATCACTATAACAATTATATTAAACACATTCACATAAAGAAATAGAGTTAAGTTAACTACACAAAACCTGGATTTCAGATTTTGAAGAATTAGTTCCCACATGCTTTTTGTTAAGTAAGTCTAAATTACTCCAACCCAAGCTATGTAATACCTTTTCTTCAACAGTCACCATTTCCTGGATTTTGATAATACCTTCGATTTCGTAACTCCCAATTTTGGATTCCAACAAATATGTGTAATCTATCCATGTTATTGATAACCGGAGTGGGGACATTTCTGGATCAAATACCACTTTTTGTATACAATAAACATCATCAGGATTAATAAACAACTCCCTTAGTGTACGTGGAGGATACTCGACTGACTTCAACTTTTTACGCTTCCCCATACTAAGTATCTCAAGCCTAGGAAGGGCTCTTACACAACTGGGCATGGAATTGATAGGATTTCCATCTAAATATAATTCTTTTAACATTGATAGACAACTAAAGTCCATGGGAAAGGATTCATTAGACAACTTATTCTTTGCAAGTGATAACCTTACTAAAGACCTTGGTAAAGATATGGCAAAGGACTTCGAATCATGTGGTATAATACCCACAAAGGAAGAGAAAGAGGTTCTTCTGTTTACGCCAATTTTGTTATATATGCACATTTCCAGTGAATCTATATCCATATTCTTGATTTGTGATTCACCAAGATTACAACAATCTAGCAACACTATTTTAACATTCTTTAACATGCCTATAATTTGCGGAAGTTTTTCAAGCTTCTTGCAGTAGCTCAGATCAATGAGAACAAGTTTAACACATTGCCTAATTGAATCACAAACATCAAGCAAACTAATGCAATTTCTAAGTATTAACCTCTCGAGCGCAGGCAATTGGTCAAAGTCACCAACACTATGAAGTTGTTTGCAGAAACTTAAATTAAGAATCTTTAGTGAACCTAACATCTTTTTTACTTTGAAGGACGATCCACCCAACTAAAAAATTGAAATAAGTTAATATAGTATTGAGCTTCATAAAGTCACATGCATAAATAATATATGAAGATAACTTCACCTTTTGCCTCTTCTCAAGTCGTTGTGGATTAGTATAACAACCTATAAATGATTCAATATTGCTATACGACATGTCAAGAGCAACAAGATTCTCTATAGATAAGTCTGAAGGTATAGACTTTAAATGAAAGCCATGCATACATAATCCTCTTAATTCCTTTGGAAAGTTTTCATAAGACCCATGCATGTGCACATAATTGAGTTGTAGTAGCATAAGATTATCCATGTTACTCAATGCATCTGTTTTCAACTCAAATGAAGCTCCCAGTTTCTCTTTCTCAAGTATGCGCATGTCAAGGGCAAGGCCTTGAAGATTTTCCTTACCCTAAGAAAAGACATAATACAAATAAACAAATTAGGCAATAGAAGATATTTTGGACATACAAACTACTAAAAACATACATGGTCTGTTACCTTTTTCTGTTTCAACACTTTGAATGACTCCTTATGACACCATAATCGACTTCGCTTCCATGGCTTGTCAAGTGATTCTTTACATACTTCAAATCTTCCCATCTCCTGAACCAACTGATGCATCTTTAATTCATTATTCGATCCAATACTAAGAAGACATCTGTGAATGAGATTCGTGATTCCAGATCTTGTGTTTATATCACATGCCTCTAATATTGTTTCACTAACATCTCTATCTATTCCAACAAAAAAACAAGCAATATGCTTAAACAAGTCCTTATCGTTTTTGGTTGACAAGGAGTCGAAGCTCATTCTCAAGACACTGTTTATAAGGAAATTGCTTTCTTTCCTTAGTCCTTCCATGAACCCTTCCCAGTACGCTAAATCCCGATTATGCAAAGACTTGCCTAAAATTTCAAGAGCCAATGGATGTCGTTGACAATACTTCACAAGCTTATCTGTCACCTCTTCATAACCTTCCTTGGGATGATTACAAATAAACGCATGGAAGCACAAAAGTTGTCGTGATTTAGTCTCATGTAAGCCTTCAATGAAGCGTTCTACATGCTTGGGTTTAATGTTTGTTTTGAATAGTGCACAACTCCCCATCAACCATCTGTCCTTTGTTGTTATTATAATTTTGCTTCCAGGATGAAAACCTTTGCTTCCAAGTAATGCATCCAACTGAACAAGAGTATTGATATCATCAATAACTAGCAACACCCTTTTATGAATGAGTACATTCTCAATCTTTGTGGTGTATATTGAAACATCATGAACTTTAATTAAATTTGTTTTTGAAATGTCATTGTAGAGTTGTTCTTGTAAATCAAGCAACCCATTAAACTTTCCATCACATTTCCTTGTGATATCTTCAATATAGCTGCTTGTGTGGAATTCATGACAGTATAGCCCATAGACATATTTGGCTAAAGATGTCTTCCCGATCCCACCAATACCTGAAATAGTAAGTATGTCTGCCGTATGTAAGGATCCATCTTTCAACCATGAAGTGACAAAGTTAATATGATATTTCATCCCAATAAGAAGTGGCCGAACATTTCTTAAGGGTACATGTAATCTACGGTAGATGTCCTGCACAATTTCTTCAATTAACTCTGTCTCAAACCTAAAACTTGATTTAATAAGAACTTCAATACACAATCTACAAACTAACAAACCAGATTTGGATATTTAATTTATCCAAAGATCAAAATCAAAATTAGATCATAGTTATTAATTTTAAATTTTAATAACTTTTTCACATCAAAACCATCTTGTGTTTGCACTTAACATTATAAGTATTTAACATGTAAGGTCATAAATATATGTATAATAAGACCAAAGCTACCAATGTAATACCAATACTAGATTTCACTAACGATCCATCTAACTTGATAAGGATCCTAACCTAGTACCACACACACCAGAGCCATATTTTGGATAGGCCTAATGAGCCTAAGCCTTGGATAGTCTATAGAAAGAAAGGATACAAGGAAGGACACATGTAGGGTGATGAATGGAGAAGATCATTATGTATGAAGATAGAGAGAGAAGGAGGATATTATTTAGTGAGAAGATTTTCAATAATGTCAACTCTATAAATTTTTTCTTGTAGAATTATTATTCATTGGCATCAACCTTGGGTTGGAGGAATTCACATATTGGATTTCCTTTATGATTTGTTTTGAAGTATTTTCTTTCAACTAATACATAGATCTCTCTTTCAAATTCATTTACTGTTACATATGTTTTGAGTTAATAACTTCAAATATAAAGCTCTACGATAACTTCAGTATGTTTCTATAAAACTATCAAACATAACTATCAATGAGGTGCGTCTGAAAAAGTGCCAGTTATGGTATTGTATATTAAATAGTAGATAGATAGATAAAGATTCAAATTGATTTTTAACATAACCATATAAAAATAAATGAAATGGTTTATCTAAATAGACTAACCTATGATAAAATATTAAATGCATAGCAAATGTGAAAAAACTATCAACATGTTTACTATATCTAAATGAACTGATTTATGAGATCACATAATTGAAAACATAGATTCAACTTTGTGCATCTTCTTTATCCTAATACATCAAACATATATGATTATTTACTGATATTAACGAAACTTATTGAAATGTGTGGGGAGAAGATAATACCAAAATTTCATGCGGTAATTAAATAAGATTAAAGATGTATGAAGAAATGGGTAAGAAAGTAGTTACCTTCCATTGACGTCGTTTCCTTTTAAACTAGCAACTTCTATAAGCGCTTTATTCCACCTATCCATCTTTTCAGCCAATTCACTTCTTTTATTTGCATTTGTCTCTGCCTCCATCATTTGTTTATGCTTAGCCATTGCATCTCCAAATCTACTTTGTTGCTTCCGGATATGGGTGGACTCCACATGATAAAAGATGGGGATGACAATATGGTCGGATGTCATACGCTCCTCAAGGATCAACACCAATTCATCTAGACACCATGTTGATGTAGCGTAATTATTGGACAAAACAATAATAGAAGCCCAAGATGCCTTAATTGCATTTTCCAATTCTGGTTTTAGATCTTCCCCTGTTTCAATCTCTTCATCATCCAAGAAGGTAGTGATATTGGCATCAATGAGAGCCTTATGAAGGTGATCAGTGAAACTATGACGAGTATCAAGGCCTCTAAAACTTAGAAATACATCATATCTATGAGCTTGAGTTGATGAATTAGCACCACAAGTTGATGGACTATTGCAATGAGTTGATGAAAATGATGAAGATTCTTCTGGAAGTTCAGATAGAACAGCCATTATAAGTTATGGGTTGATGAATCTTCACCCTTCAGACAATTTTGTGTAGTTATTTAAATAATGTTTTTCCTTATATACGGGGTGTATCTCAGTAAGTTCTGAAACGCCTCCACACGTTATCGGTTATGAAATTTGGTTTGACCGGCTTTCCTCACTTGTGCTTCACTGTGAAGATCTTAAACATAATGCTTCTACATAAAATCCAAAATATTAATATTTACTATATGCAACTTAAACCTCATCAAACTGTTGAAACTCAATGATAATAGTACCTTTGAATTCTTCAAAAAAAACTTTTAAATGATTAGAATACAGCATGCATGAACTCTAATTGTATGAACATTTCACATTTTATTCCCAAACATCAAGTTGCGTGTTGATTTTGGAGCTATATAGTGCGTAATGTGTATATGTGTGTGTTAACCCTTAATTCCAATTTGATTAACTCACATAAACATCCCTGCTATTGTTTAAATAACATCCATTTGATGTTCACTTAAACAAATCAACACCAAATACCATTCTGTAAACAACTACAAGATTACTATCACCCCCCACAAGAGAAATTGCAATACATAGAGGAAATTTCAAGCTTGCACCAAATATCAACAAACAAATAAAAGATCTAAACAAAAAAGGAGTAAGTTTGTTGACATGGTTGTTTATGGATCCCCAAAATTAGCAACAGAAATCTTTCCATCTTTGAAATTCTCTGGTCCTAGTATCAGCATAAATCTAAAGTGTTTCTACTTTTATTCATGGGTTTGTTCCAAATTACATGTCCTTTTTAAGGTTTCAATTTCAAAGTCTCATAAGTAAATAAACAGTAACTGAAACACAAAATTCAAACCTCTGTTAACGAAATAAACAAATGATTATGATTAATAAGATGAAATTGTCAAACAACATGTGAAACTAAGTTGTAAGAATGTCGTTCATAGTTACCTGCCAACAGGAAGACAAAGGGACCTGGGCAGCGACGATATATAGAGGATGAACCAACAGTGAGGAGCTGAGAAAGATGAGGAAGCAGCTAGTAAACCCCAGAAAGAAGAAGATGTTGTGGTTCTCTTTTGCCTTTCGAATAGATGTGTTGTATATTCTTTTCAAGAGAATTAATGGTAAATTGGGGGGGAATTCCAAGAAACTGTTTATTTCAGGAAGCAGCTAGTAAACGCCAGAGAATGAAGAGAATAACGAGAATTGGGGGCAAATTCCAAGAGATTCCAAGTAATTATTTAACTTAGTAGGGAAGCGGCTGGTTTCTAATTATCTTTTGCCTAATAGGTTTTTACTTCTTTTGAATTTCTTTTGTTATTTCTTTTCTGTAACTGATCATATTTATTTATTTACTATGTTTTGTGAATAATGAATAGTATACATAGTAATTATAATTTTGTGGAGTAATTAAAAAAATCCACCTTTTTATGTAAGTTTACCAATATGACGATAAGGTTTGCTAATTTCGCTTAGATCATGGTTTTTGAACCCTAATTTCATAAGTCTCAAATTTAACCTAATCACTTTTGCAAATATCGAAATTCTCCAAACTCTTTACTGTCTTAAATTTTTCCTAGTTACAAAAATCACCATATATGCGTCTACCTGTCAACAAGACTCACACCAAACACACACTAAAAACACACCGGCTGACTCACACCAAACACACACTAAAAACACACCGGCTGTAATTAGACTCAACACCAAAAGACACTGAGACTCACCCACAGAGACCCCCGTGTATTTTTTTTTTCCTGTTCATCCTTTACATTCAGAAACTGGATCAAAACACCACTCCAACCATCTGAGATTTTGGGATCTAGTCCTCGAGTTGATCCATAAATGGATCAATACTTGTATTTCATTTGCAAGGTTCCTATGTGAATTGGGAAGGCTTGAGTGTAGTATATCGTGTCTGAATTTCCAGACCACACACAGATGTAAATCAACATTATAGTTTCCTGAACTTGGCCCAGACCCAGGCTGTTTGAAATTATATTTTTGAAATGAAGAATATCTATCAATGAAAAGATGAGGAGAACAGGTACCACCACTTCTTGACTGCGATCCAAACTTCTTGGGAGATTGCACAATCAATTAGATGATGGGCTTCTGTTTCTCCAGCATTGTTGCATAAGGGGCAGGTAGATGAGAATCTGATTCTGATTTTAGATAGGTTTTCTCTAGTAGGTAACCTCTTATGACAAATTCTCCACACCAATATATTCACTATTATGGGGACCAAATTATTCCATTCCCAGGCACCTGAAGTTTTTTTTTTTTTTTTGTACTAATTTTTCATCCATGTATCATCGTAGTGAAGCCACCGTGTATTCTCCCGGGGCTTCAAGATTCCACTTTAAGGTATTGCCCTGGACCTCTGGTGACTGTGAAAATAAACTACAAAAATCTCGGTTGTCCTTGGCTAGGTGATTCTTCTGGTTGACAATGCTTCCCAGCAATATCCTTTTCTTTTTGCTCTGGAAGGAGCATTGAACCATCCGTCACTCATATAAATGTCTTTATAACCACTTTCCAAAGTTCATGTCGATCTGAGCTGAAACACCACCACCATTTTCCATGAAGTGCTAGCGTATGTGCCTTTAAACTGTCGATATCACGTCATCCGTCTTTTTTCTTGGACAAAATTTTGTCCCACACGATCCATGCCATCTTTTTTTTTTTTTTTTTTTTTTTTTTTTTTGTAATTGGACCCAGCCCTAAAGAATCGACACTTACGATTTTCTAGGGTTTTGATTACCTTAATTGGAGCCTTATATAGCAAAAGGAGGAAAGAACCAAGACTTCCCAGGAACAATTTGCAGTGTCAAGAGACCCCTAAACTACAAGGTAGAGGCTTTCCATTTAGTTAACTTTGTTTGAAATTTTCCTATAAGAGCGTTCCATTGTACAGTTCTGGACATGTTTGCCACTACAGAAATCCCCAGGTATATGGAAAAAGGTAGATATCCAATTGAGCAATGCACACTTGTAGATAGCCAATCTAGTTCCATGAAGTTGACATCAATACCAAAAATATTGCTTTCGGTAATGTATATTTTTAAAGCTGATGGTAGTTCGTAGCAACGTAAGATTCTAATAAGATTTTTGGCGTTTTGTATTGACCAGGAACCGAGGAAAATTACCCTATATGCGTATTGAAGATTCAACCAGACTAAACCATTGTTAGGCAGGTGAATGCCTTGGAAAACTCCATGTTCTTTGGCTTGTTCAAGTGTAATGTTCGGTACTAGCCGCTATGATGAAACCTGATTTTTGAAATGAAGCATGTCTGTCAATGATAAGATGAGGGGAACAGGTATCACCACTTCTTGACTGCAATCCAAACTTCTTGGGAGATTGCACAATCAATTAGACGATGGGCTTATGCATCTTCAGCATTGTTCCATAAGGAACAGGTAGATGAGGATCCGATTCTGACATTAGATAGGTTTTCTCTAGTAGGTAAGCTCTTATGACAAATTCCTTACGCCAATATATTCACTATTATGGGTACCAAATTATTCCATTCCCAGACACGTGAAGTTTTTTGTAGTAATATTTCATCGATGTATCCTCGTAGTGAAGCCACCGTGCATTCTCCCGAGGCTTCAAGTTTCCACTTTAAGGTATTGCCCTGGACCTCTTGTGACTATGTGAAAGGACCTCCGGTGACTATGTGAAAATAGACTACAAAAATCTAGGATGTCCTTGACTAGGTGATTCTTCAGGTTGACAATGCTTCCCCAGCAATATCATTTTCTTTTTGCTCTGGAAGGGGCATTGAACCATCCTTCACTCCCATAAATGCCTTTATAACCTCTTTCAAAAGTTCATGTTGATCCGAGTTGAAACGCAACCACTATTTTCCAAGTAGTGCGAGATTATGTGCCATTAGGTTGTCGATATCACGTCATCCATCTTTTTTCCAAGACAATTTTGTCCCACATGATCGGTTGGATCGGAAGGGTTTTTGGAGCTATGATGGCGAGTTAGCTAGGACAATTCTTGTCAAATAAGGCCTTCATTCGGAAGTCGTGTGGTGTGACTGTGTAAGACTATTAGCCTTAGCCCACCAGGTGGAAATTCGGTAAATCGGTTATTCGGCATATAAGTCGGGACTATTAGCCTTAGCCAGCGTGTGGAAATCCGATGAATCTGTTATTCGGCAGATAAGTCGGGGACGAGGGAGGTATCGGTTGCATTTGGAAAGTAGCTTGGGGGAGAGGGGAACATGCACTTCGCAACTATAGACCCACCAATTCTAAGTCTATAAGATCCTAATTATATATAACCATGGAAGCATGCACTTCGCAACTATAGACCTGCCAGTAAAGGTCTTTTAGCGTTTATATAAGTTTGTTATAGTGCCTAAAATATTCCTATAGTATTTTATCTTTATGTTTGTTCTAGAGATCCTTTGTATATAGAGTTAGGTAAGTTTTAGACTCGTTCCGACACCACTATCACTCCCAAACACATGTTGGTCGTATCTCAAATAAATATAGTTGATCAGGTTATATTTATTCCAGATATGACTACATAACTGCCCATGTTTGATTGTAGTGTCCAACATCCAAATACTTTTGTTTTGTTCTTTTGTAATACTTGTTCCTAACATGTGTGCTTGTTAGTATACTTCTCGTAAAATACTGCATGTCGGATTGGGTTATTCTGCCCTAAGCCCACAACCAAACAAGGAACAGGAAATGAGGCGGAGATCACACATCCCACTGCATGTTGGATGTTAATTTCATATTACCCTAATGTACATACTAAGTCATCACATAGTTACTAGCCCTGTTGACTGTTTGTTACGTATATTATTACGTGAACGAGTCGTTGTTTCCCCAGTGAGTTCTTATAACCATACTATGGACGATAAACATTACGACGTACTTCGGATGTCGTGAACTGAATGACGTTTGTCACCGTAGGTTGACTGTAGTTAATAGTCAGTGTGCGGGATTGTCACTCCCGTATAGATCTATACACAAACTCACGCTCTCCTTCCAGGAGACTCTAGTTACAAGGGGTAGACTTCTTAGAAGACGTGTCTCAAATTGTAGTTCTCTCAACGAATTCACGAATAATACTATGAAAATCCCTTTTTGTTCTTAACATGAATCTTTATAAAATAGTATCTTTTATTTCATAATTCATAAGTTTGTTTCCTTGTTTGAAAAAAGTGCTTGTAACATTTATATCTTAATATGTTTTGTAAAACTTATTTCAAGTTTAGTAGTAACAATGTTCATCATGTTTAGTAAGTTCTATGTTGAATGTGTGCTAATGATAGGAAAATATAATAAAACAAATAATATTTTTAAACACAATATTACTTGTGTTTTTACTTGTATCCCCCCCCCCCTGAAAACATTAAAAAGCTTGAAAAATATAGGGGTATGAACTCACCTGATTGTGAATGACTCGGATGAATGACAAAGATAGGATGATTGGTATGCTAAGTGAAGTCTCGAGCACAATACGGTCCTATTAAGCACATATTAACATGTATAGGCCTAAAATTAGTGTCTAAACCCACTAACAATCATAGAAAACACCCTTAGGATGTAGGAAACACTTCTAATGAAGTATTAGAACCAAGAACGAGGGATGAAATGGAGTTCACGGCCCATGAACACATGAAGGGTTCACGGCCTAAGATGTGTTCATGGCCCAAGAACACATGAACATTTTATGGGTTTACGACCCATCTATGAAGGGTTCACATCCGTGAACTCTTCAAAATCATAAAGATGGTGATGTGAAGTGATGAAACAAGGCTAGGATCAAGGGGTTTCTAAGCATGAACAAGTAAGGAATGAAATACTTACGTTTTGAGGCCCTTAAGAGTGATCACGGTTGAAGATAGTTGAGAGAGAATTGGAATGTTCATGGTTGGAGCTTGAACAAATGAGGAGAAAAATGTGTGAACCATATATATATATATATATATATATATAGAGAGAGAGAGAGAGAGAAATAGAGAGAGGGTGGTTCACAGCCCAAGCATGGGTTCACGGCTGTAAACCTAGTTTGCGGCCGTAAACTCCCTTCGAGGTTGTTTCAGGTTCGAGTGCAAACTATTGATTCTTAGATAACACTTCCCAACATTCAATCCTTGAGTGCACTAGGCTTTGAGACCCTCAAACTGACTCTAAACACAGTAACAGGTAGCAGAACCAAGTCTGACTTACAGAGAGAGATTTTGAGTTGTCACATCATTCCCCCGATAGAGGGAATTTCGTCCCGAAATTCGGATTCTGAGTGGTTGGTTAATGATAAGGAAAAGAGGTGGGTACCTTGGTTCTAATTAATCCTTGTATTCTTCAATGAATTCAGATCCTCGCTGGGTGTTTCAACAGATCTTCACTGTTCGATCTGCTGTTCTGATATGTGGATAGTGTGTGGGTTGACTTGCCTGACTATGTTCATCCAACTGGTAGGATGTCCATTCGTAGTCTTGAGTAGCTTTTGCCCTGAATTTCATGATAGGACTCATACATGGTTCATCTATCATCGCCTTGTGTACACAAGTCATATATAATTAAGATTGATAAGAGGGCCAGATGGGTGGCTCTGCCCCAGGTCCACAACTACCAAGGAACAAGAGATAGGGCGAAAATTGTTGGATTAGTGTCTAAGTCCATAACTATTTTGGTATGTACTTGACCCGATGGTGCATGGTCCTTTTGGGTTGCCTTCACTAAAGTAACTTGATAGGATGAATTATGGAGAGAAAGGATTAAATGTGATTTATTAATATATTATAAGAATAATATATTAAAGGAGAAATCATATTGTTTAATTAATATTAGTCAAGAATTAATAAGAATTAAGTTTGTGGCTAAAAGAGATTAATTAAACTTAAGGGACTGGAATTGTAATTATAAGATAATTGCAATTGGGCTATGGATTACCTTATTATATAAGGTTGGACGAATTCTATAAGGAAACCCATTAGAAATCGTCCAAGGCTTATTAAAAAGGGGTTCATGGGTTGCTTAGGGCCTAAGCATCCAAATTAGTGTTTCCTTGTTAGATAACCCTAATAGCGTGACTATTTAAAGGACCCTTAAGCCCCAAAAACGTGGTGAACTAATTGGTTAGAGTTTCCACACATTTTCGGCAACCTCCTTCTCTTCTCCTCTTCATCCTCTTGCTCTTGGTGTTTGTGAACCATTAGAGGAGTGACATTTGTGACTCTAAGCTTTCTAAAGTCAATACAAGAAGGATTTGAGATTGTTATTACTAGATAACAATCAAGGTATGATCTAAACCCTAATTCATATGTTATATTGATTATCATATACTAGATGTAGGGTTTATAGTCTTGGATGAATTGCATGTACAATAGAGAAACCTAGATTCAAGCATTAGGGTTTGTATGAGCACATAAGATGTTCTTTTGGTCAAAACCCATGAGTGGTATCAGAGCCTTGATTGGTTTCTATTGTATTGATGCCTTGGTTATTTGTTCAAGCCTTAAAAATTCGTT